CAAGCACCCTCCTCCTCCTCCTCCTCCTCCTCCTGGTGCTTGCAGGAAGCCATTGGTGGCCTCGGCCACAGAGGCCATTTGGAAGTTGTTGTCTACAAAAGCCATGGATGAACCGTCAAATGAGCTGGATCCTGTTGCCGAAAATGGTAGTTGGGAAGACGATGAGGAGGTCGACGATGAATCCATGCTTATGTTCATACTCATGATGTCGTGTTCTTGCATTGCCATTATCCCTCCATACATCATGTCGAATCTAGGATCTGATGATTCATGGCTGTATGGAGAGGACGAAAGGTTGTTTTTTAACCTTTTCTTTAACGTGGAATTCCAAAAGTTCTTTATTTCGTTGTCTGTTCGTCCAGGCAAACGAGATGCAATTTGAGACCACCTGTTGATTGTTTCCAAAGAAAATTGGATTGATTAGTCTGGAAACTCGAACAAAGAATTGATGCATAAGGGAGCCCCTCAAACATGCCAAATGTTTATAAATCCGACACCATTTGAATAAAGATTTGATTTACAACATAACAAGTAATGCTCATTTTTTCACACCATCTTTACAAAATTCCTAGGAATGCAATGTATTCTCTATGTAATATGACGTGAAATCCATGACATTACCACTGTTGAACACATATAAACCAAATAATCATATCATATTACAACCATAACTTATCTAAACAAAGCTATCACGAATGACAAGTTTCTGGATTTAGTGACCATATAGTTTCCCAAAAAAAAAAAACTCATTTGAAACTCTCATTTGGGTATGAAGAAAAATGAGTGAAGGAGGGAGAGAGGGAGAGAGAGAGGACCTGTTGCCTATGAGGGAATGCAAATGCACAATAAGCTCTTCTTCCTGGGGAGAGAAGGCTCCACGTTTAAGGTCAGGGCGAAGATAATTAATCCAACGAAGACGACAACTCTTGCCACATCTCTGAAGCCCTGCATTCCTAGCAATGTCACTCCAACAGCCCTGCCCATTGTTCAACATATACCTCATCAGCTTCTCGTCCTCCTCCGGCGACCACAGCCCTTTCCGGTATTTGTTCTTCTCAGCATTCTCTTTTCCGGGAACCACTTCCGGTTTTCTCATTCTTATGTTTTTTTTGTTCTTTCTCCCAACTGAGTTTGGTCACTGCATGGAGAATTGTACATATATATGTGTGTGTGTGTTGTGAGAGGTATGTACAGAGAGAAAAAGAGAAGGCTTCATGGCGTGGTAAGGGTGATGATGATGGAGACGGTTGGGGATGCTTTGGTTGCTTGAAGAATATGGGTTTGAATGGTGAATGTGTTGAGAGAGAGAGAGAGAAGATTGTGTTGGTTGGTTGCTAGGTGGAGTGGAAAACGGATTGGAGGGGGACCTCCATTTGTGTATGTGTCTCTCAATGGAGAGAGAGATAGAGAGGGAAGGGGATGTTTGGTCTTCTTGTCTTTGACTCAATTCTTGTCCTTTTTTTTGCATTTTTCTTCACTCACAAGGTAATCATTGTCTCTGTATAACAAAGAGCTACAGTTTTGCTTCCACTTCACATAATAATCTCTCTCTCTCTCTCTCTCTCTAGAGACACGTGACTATGAAGAATAAACCTAGAGAGAGAAAGTACATTGGTACTTTGGGATGTGTTTCTCTTAGTGTTCCACAACTTGATAAATGTTTTTCTTTTTCTTCCTTCCATTGATCCCTTCAATTCAAGATTGGACACTGTCCAATTATTTTTAATTCTCTGTTCATGAGATCTCCTTTCATTCAAGGCCACTGTTTGAACAGATTTCTTCACCGAAGTAAATGTATAACACCAAATCCTACAACCATTTGCCTCTTCTTATGACAAAAGCATGACTAAATCTTCGAAAGAAAATTGATTTTCCTAAAGAGACATCATGGACATATCACCTTCCTCTGGTCTCTAATGTACAAAATGGATAGATTGATTGTGTTTTATTTGAATAAAAGTTAATTGGTCTACATGTCCACACTTAATACATGTTATAGAAGTGATGGAAAGAATTTGAAGAGTTTGGAGGTGTGAGATCCCACATCGGTAGGAAAGGAAAACGAAGCATTCCTTATAAGAGTGTAAAAACCTCTGCCTACTAGACATGTTTTAAAAACTAAGGAAGCCCGAAAGGGAAAACTCAAAAAGGACAATATCTGCTAGCGGTAGACTTGAGTCATTCCAAATGGTATCAGAGCCAAACACCGGGCAATGTGCCAACAAGGACGCTGGGCCCCTACGGGGGGTGGATTGTGAGATCCCACAACAGTTGGAGAGGGAGAACAAAACATTCTTTATAAGAGTGTAGAAATCCATTTTAAAAACCTTGAGGAGAAGTCCAAAAGGGAAAACCCAAAAAAGACAATATCTACTAATGGTAGGCTTGGGTCGTTACAAATGATATCAGAGCCAGACACCTAGACAGTGTGCCAGCGAGGACGCTGGGTTCCCGAGGGGGGTGGATTGTGAGATCTCCAACAGTTAGAGAGGGGAACGGAGCATTCCTTATAAGGGAACGAAGCATTCCTTATAAGAGTGTAGAGAACCCAGAGGGGGGTGAATTGTAAGATCCCCATCAGTTGGAGAGGGGAACAGAGCATTCCTTATAAGGAAACGAAGCATTCCTTATAAGGGAACGAAGCATTCCTTATAAGGGAACGAAGCATTCCTTATAAGGGAACGAAGCATTCCTTATAAGAGTGTAGAAATCTCTCCCTAGCCATTGGAATATTTCCAATGAATATAATAAGTTGAAAACCTGGTTGTTTTCTATAACTTGATGCGGGCCAAACTTCCTCAAGAAGATGGATCATAAAAGCATACAGCAAGAAGTGGGGCCTTCAACACCCCGATTTGATCCTCAAAAAAATCTCATGGTATTGGTGTGCCCTTCCAACATTTGGTACCTTTTCTTTTTCCTGTTTTCAAGAGAAGAGAATGAAAAAGAAGAGCCAAAATTGTAATCAAACAGATCTAAAATAATTGTAGTGGGTACACAGTGCAATGCAATAATCAAAAACTTAATCTAATAAATATGGTAAATCAGCTTGTGAGCATTCTTGATAATAAAGTCACATGAACAGATATTGCTTGCTACATCAATTAAGAGATAACATGACCCATCTAATAGTTAGCTCCATTAATTGCAACAGTAACTCAAATTCCTTCATTACCAACAACAATTTCAAGCAATCTAGCTAGCCTAATTGATTGTCTACGTGGTATTTGTGTATTCTTATCCAAAAACATACCCATCATTGCTGTCAATTGCTTGGAATGCGCATAAAAATTATACAAGTATTCCATACGTATTCATCACCCTTCCCTATTCATTCTTACCTGATCAAGAACAGAGTTTGCAAGTTTAGATCCTTTCTGATAACATAGATTTTGTGCAGGTCATGCTACAAAAATTGATATCACTAAATCACAGATACACTGCAAAAGAGCGAAACACAGACAGAAAAATTTTAAAAAATGAAAAAGAAAGAAAGAACTAACCTACCTTCTTTCAAGAAAGTCTTTTTTAAGCAATTCGTTCCTCTACCTAATCCCTCTCCCTGCATGCTAAGTTTGAGAGAAAGAAAATCCCTCTATGCACCATATTATCGGGGAAAATACATCACTATTTCCAGTCATTGTCACAAAGAAAACAGTTCTACAGGTCCTTGTCAATTCATGAGATTGCAAGGGAAAATATATTGTTTTTTAGTCTGAGCATCCCTATGTTTTCCCCACTGAAAGAGTAAGTAATTTTCCTGAGCAAAAAAGAAAATGGGAGACTCCAAAGTTACTCAAATGTTCAATAAAGCGCTCTATTCTATCTATATACAGCTGTACCAAAAATCCAAGTCATGATTATGATCCAACACAAAGCAACATCCTACTTGGATACAAAGATAAGAAAACCAACCTGTTCCTCAATACAACTGGCAATCATCAGTGACACAAGGAGAATTTAATTGCAGATTTCTTTTTTCTTTTTTAAGAACTTGTATTCATATCAAAACAAAAGCTTTTCGACCCAAAATCATGATACATAAAGTGGAAGAACTCAAAGAAACCTCAGATAAAAGGTGAATGTCTTTCATGTTAGTGCTTCTATTGAAAGTGCCTCTTCTGCATCTGAGACCCCAAGAGATGCTGTCATCATAAGGAAAAGCAGATCAGAGCTACAAAAGAAGTCCAGCTTTTTATATCCCAGGAATAGCAGATGGCATTTGGTGAATACAGAAAAGGCAAATGAAAGATATATACAAAAATTAACATAGTAAAAAAATCATTGAACTTCATATAAATCCAGAAAAGGACAAGGGAAAATAAATGGCAAAATTAAAACACTGAAATCATTGGACTCCATTCCAAATGTAAAGCATCATGATTTTCAAAGTGCAGGAAAACTAAGATGAGAAGCTTGTATTCTTTGAAGAATACATTTGCATTTTACTTGATATCACGTATTACCAATCCAAAGGTTGTAATCAGAACAACTCAAGTTTATTGTAGCCAGGAAGTGCTACCAAAAAACTTTGTATTAGGGAAGGATCCAAGTCAGTCAAAAATTGTGGCATTAATATGTCATAACGCCACATGTAAACACTCACATGGTCGAGTGGACATCTTATGAAATATTGTGTATCACAAGTTGAGACAACCTAAAAGAAAATGAAAATAATTCCCACTGCAAAAAACTTGAGATATTTGAAATTTTAACATTTCTCGTTGAGATTGTGTTGTACAATCAATTGTTTCTCCAATATAATGAAGAGTCCGGATGCAATTTCTCATTGCACGATCTGTTGAATTTGTTGATTATATTGGTGGTTCCAGAAGGAATGGAAGCAACAAAATCTGCAAGGAGAGATCTTGTAAACTAGAACCTCGAAATTTTTTATTTCAGCCTCATAGTAACAATTGGGTAGTGAGATATGAAGCCATTAGTTTGTATTACCATTGATAATGATAGACCTGTCGTCATTTGGAAGAAAACTTAGCATCGATTCTGAAGTACCTGGGAATAAGATACTCTTAAACCAAGTAGCTTTTACTAGATTATAATCCACCGAAACTCTTATTTCCACTTAGATGGTTGTATAACATCATATCAAGTTAAGGTAAAAGGGCAACAAAAATAACGGGGAAAAAAAAGAAAATATCTTTTTCCATTAACATGGATGACAGAATGACGACGATGGACATTGTGCCACAGAAGTTGAACATCTTTTCAGAGTCCATCAAAAGTTACAGGTTGACGCAAGAACCTCTCCATTTGACGTGCCCGGGTTTTAATGGACATGTCCAATACCTTCTCGCCAAATTCTACAACTAGACCACCAAGTATGCTGGGATCAATCTGGCAAATACAAGAGTACTGTTATATTTTCTCAGAAGGCATGCATGCAATTTGAAGCCTAAAAAATTTCCAACCGAAGTACCTTCTGCTCGAGCTTAACCTTCTTGCCCTGTCCAATTATATCTTGCAACGTCTCCGTCAATTCTTTCTCTTCTTGTGGTGGAATGGGCTGGGAAAAAACCAATCAGTTGTAAGGTGCATTGAGGTTTATACAATTTAATATCAAATTTTTTTTCTTTTTTGGTAAGAACTTTGAAATACTAATTTGAAATATAATATGTCAAATAAGAGGTAAAATTACACAGAGCCGAAAGATAAGTTGTGGTTCAATATTTTAGATGACAATAAATTTACTTCAGGTATCTCTGTGACTGACATTTTCATCCGAGAACAACGAATGGATAGAATCAATACGCTAAAAGTAAAATAAACGTAAATAATTTGATAAGGCTCCTAACACAAATATATAAAAGGCATCCCACGACATCCACAAATCAGTTGCCAAATTTCAATGAGTCATCATCCCATAGACACAAATATCACTTTGCACAAGTTAATGCTAAATATATTCCACTTTGAACTTTGTAGCCGAGAATCTGGTTGTTGCCTGAATTAAAAGAAAAGAAAAGAAAATAAAATAAAATAAAAAGGGCAGAGAAACTTACAATAACAGTAGTAACAACTGCTTCAACTTCTCCCCTATGAGCCATAGTCAACTCCAAAAATCTCTTTGCTATGCTATCTACATATCTCAGCCTCCCATTCTCAGCCAGCACAACTACAATAAATAATCAAAATAATTTGAGGAAAGAATGCAGGTAATACTCCTTGAATTAATGCATTTTAATTGCCTGTAACAATAATTTCCCAGCATGAGTACTTCGGCAATTAGAACAAAATGAAAGATGCATGAGTCAAGGGAACAAAAATAAAAAAATAAAAGAGTAACAAGAACCCATTAACCATAAAAAATATCTAAAAAAATCATATAGTATAAAACTCACTTCTTCAATCATGAAGGGAAAAATACCCATCCCTCTCAAGCAAAATCTTATATAGGATATGAAATGATATAATTTAAGATTAGAACATTAGCATAGAAAAAGAATTACACTTTAACAGACAGATTGTGTTGCATAATAGGCCAAAGCTAAATTCACTTTTCATCCACACAACTAAAGAAGAGTAATGAATCCTACCTAAAAAGTTCTTTACGACATCCGAAAATTTAGCTTCCGCAGAAATTTCAGTGATAGCCTTAACTCTAGTTTCAGCTGGAACTGACAGGTCCATTGTGAACTGAGAAAATGTTGGGCTTTTCTTAATAGCCTCGACAAAGTTAACAAGCTCAGACTCCACGTTGTCTAAAGAATTAGCTTTTACTGCAGCTATATACAGAGCAGAGGCATAGTTTCCAGACCCTCCAAACAATGCAATAGGAAGCTGAATATAGAAAACAGGAAAACGCGCTTGTAAAATTAACTTCAACCAATCAAACAAGAAACATAAATCACGTATATACTTTGAGCTCCAGAGAGAATATTTAAGAGTAATTCTAAAAATCTATAAGGGAAAATGATATATGATGAGGCATCTAAGGCGATGATTCACCTCCTTCACTTTTGCTTCACTTTTCCCTGATGCAGCGGCATAGGTCCTTGAGAGCTGCAGCAAATTAGTGAGCACATTATTGAAGTGATACAACCATACTCAGACAAAACCAGTGAAAAAGCAAAAAAAATAAAAATAAAAAAAGAAAGAAACTGGCTCTATTCATGACAACATCGACCAATTTTCAGGGGAAATTGAAAACATAAGCTCCCGATACCTTGTGAAACTTGTTTAGCAAAGAAACTGTCATATTCAATTTGCTAAGAATGCACAAGGACTCAAAACGTTAACCCCTAATTATTCAGATAGCTTGTGAATTCGCTTGGAATCAAACATTCACCACATACAGTACACAAGTTCAGATAATCAAAATTATATTCTCCGGATCACGGTTCCCTTTACCCGAGCAAACAAACAGATTACGAATCCTAAATCAACGATTACAGAATACAAGACCGCCACATTTTGCCTTAAACTCGACATAGATGAGACAACGAACAAGACAACCATATTAACAATCCAAAACCGAAAATAACAATGAGCGCCAAAGAAGATAAACAAATGAGGTGTCGTAGGAGTACCAGTACCGGAGTGCAGGACGATTCGGACCTCAAAAACTTGCTGAGGACAGGGATGGTGGATCTCATGCGACTAGCCAACGCCATTTCTCTACAAAGAAACGCTAACTTCTCAAACACAGGGTTCGGCCTTGCAGGTTATGAGGAGAACAGAAGTTTCAGATTCGAGTTTCGAGCTGCAAAGAAGAAAGTGAGTGTTCTTACCGCTAAAACCACCTGCGATAATGTGGGATTTTTCATGAAACCCCGCTAGATTCTGACACGTATAACCTAATTTTTCCTTTTACCAATTTTCAATTTTCAAAAATAGCATAATCAAAATAAAATCAATTTCTTTATAGAAAATTCCTATAAATTTTGTACTTTGTAATAAATATATTTCTCAACTTTTAAAAGCATAATACTCTTAAATTAAAAAAAAAATGATAAAAAAAACTATTAATATATCATTTTAAGAATATTAAAGAATTTTCAAATTGTCTAATACTCTAATAGTATAGATTTTCAAATTGTCTAATACTTAAATTAAAAAAAATGATAACCGTTTATATGCACATCGTCACCTCCTTAAATTTTATCTTTTTTTTTTTTCCTTCGCTTCAATACACTCTTACTCTCATTTTTTCTATTTCTGAGTCTTTAAAACTTTCTCCGGATCATCCAAAGACCTTAAGACTTAGATATTAAATAAAGTTATATAATAATAGTTCACTGTGAGTTAATACGTCGTTTGAGTTTAATACACAAAAACAAGACACATTAAAAATTTGAGCGATAATTTTGAGGACAATATCAGATAAAGAAATAGAATACGAGCAACCAGGAAGACTTAATTGATCATTTGGGTATTCAAGTTAGTCAATTTGTGAAGGTTATCTATGATTAAAAAATGTTTGAAATTCCTAGGCTCCTGAATATCATGACAGAAACAACAGCCGCCACGGCAGCCTTTGCATTCCCAACCACCAGCAATGTGAGGGTACTGGTGTGCTTGATCAACAAGAAAATGGTCAAATTCACTAAATAAGCCATCGTAGCATTGCCAAGCAATAAGAACACAATAAACGAATTCCTCCAGCTTCATCGACAGTAATGGCACCAACATTCCCTTCAATACAAAGACTAATAGGAAGCAAATTATAGCAGCCATTAGAGGCAGCCATATACAACAATTTCATAGAGTGACGTTTCTCAGCCTCCGAGGTCAACAATATCTTCTGAACCACACATTTCAACGTCCTCCCAAAATAAAGAACTTTCTAAATAACAACTCATCAGTGGAAGTCCAGAAATTAGAGATCTGACAAGCTAGACAAGGTAGAGATAGCCAGATAGGATGACTCCTAACACCATTCCCACCCCACGTAGTTCTTTGATTCTTCGTCCTTGTGAAATAATACCATCTTTAAGGTAGCTTCCAAGAATTGAACTAATCTTGTTCTAGACACAAAAGACTACCATCTTTAAGGTGGAATCCAAGAATTCATTCCATTCACAACGAGCAAAAGGTAGAGCGGATGTTCATTGTTTCCTAGTAAGATAACAACGTTGCTATCAAAATTTTGATGAGTGCTTTGCTTTCAAGCCTTTGTGACACCTTTTCCACTGCATCTGTATCAACAGATACACAAAAATCAACCAGAAATGACTGCTCTTAATGTCAATTGCAAAGCTTCAAAACAACAAAATACTTGCCATTTAGAGACTAGTACTTGATTTTCCAGAGTAAGGAGGAATGTGAGCGATCAACTGCATAGATCAGATCCGAAGAGATGCACCCCGACAACTGATGAGCAATTAACCTCGACTTCAACAATGACAGTAACCGAGCATGTCGTGCCTGTTTCCTTGTCAATGCTTGAACATAAGCATTTAGTCCTAGCCATTCAACTTCTCCATCTTCTAACTCCAATCTTGGACGTGGAAGCGAATCGAGCTGAATAGAAGACATCCTGTTCTTTACGAGCACATCCATGTACCTACCATGCGAAAGAATGAATGATTCCAACAGAAATATGTTTCGCAAACATCTAAAAATTAAACTACATAGGTTTTCAGAACGAAGCGCAGACACGTTAACCAGGTATGAGACTGACCTTAGAGATCTTAGAATGATGTTCAAAAGAAATTTTCTGCTGAATTTGCACATATATGACAAATGGCATATGTAGCAATGGAACTTCATGGCACATAAAAGAAATGCTTGAAAAATGTTTAATCTGACCACTGCAGCAGTATTGATATTCAAATCAAAGAAGATCGGATGGCATTTGGGCCTTAAATAGTCACACAGCTTTGCCTTCAGATGATGTCCAGGTTTGCCTTTCCAGCAAACAGTTAGGGTTGAATTTAAGTGGTTATTCAAATACCTGCCATAAACAAAACAAGTTATACATGGGAAGCAAAAGCATTTTAATCAAGTGAAAATGACTGGACAATTTATTGGCTCCAGGAAAGGGAAAAGAAAAGTGTTGCATGATTATGAATTTATGATCTCATAACTAAAGCCCCAAGTAATTTTCAAAAGTTCATTTTTGTTTTTTGGAATTCAGCTAAGAGTTCAAATGTTTATTCAAAGGAGGTGAAAACCATAGTAAGAAATGGTGGGAACCCAGCATAATTTACAAAACAGAAAACTAAGAACGAAATCCTTATCAAACGGGGCCAGCCTTTTGTGGATCATTTATAACATCGATGCAAATGAAAACGATAGTAGATAGCACCATTTACACTTAACTTTGTGTAGTCTGCCTGAATTTCGAGAGACTGACAGTTGATGAGCAAACCACTCCATCGAAGAAATGAAACACCATCCTTACCAACATAGACTCTATTGGAGACGAATCCTGATGTATTTCCTACATCAAAGTTCAGACCAAACTTTCTTTCATTCATGTAGCAATTATATTCCCGGAATCCTCTCTGAAGTCTGAATAAGAAATTTGCTGCCAGATGCTTCGAGGTCGATATGAAAAGGAAATCATCAATAAATCTAAGCAGCAAATAACTAGGATTTGTTATCATTTCATCCTCCTTGCTACTCAGGGAAATAGAAGGGTCAAGACAATTTTGTCTCACAGATGGATTGTCAGCCTTAGATTCAATAACTCTCCCAAGAAATGGAAAAATCACCTTCCTCTCGAGATCTCCGAAGTATAACGAGCAGAGCAAAGATGATAAAACACTTCCTTGAGGAATACCTGTTCTTTGTAAGTAAAACTTTTTATCAAATTGCATAACATTTCGCTTCACGTGCTCACGTAGGGTATAAAAGAGCTTTTCCTTGTTTAAAAAGCTTCTCAGATCCTACAAGATTTAGCTAACAATTAAAAAAGGTACACATCATAAGAAGAGAAGAATCTTGATAAAGAAATATATATAAATTTATTGAGAACAGGAAGTTCCAATGTCCTATTATTCCATAATCATATTTGATGCATAATTCTCTTATTTTACCAAGTAATGTTTTTACATTCCCATGGATGGGAAAATGTGCCAACTTAAGTGCAAAACATATCAATGCACATATCATCAAAGGTTCAGTCTCTTGCTTAAGAATGCTGATGCAACAAATTAACATTTCAACCAGTGTGCTATATTGAGTCTCAAATTTTAAAAATAAGTCAATACGTTGATGTTATTGCATACACATTTGATGCATTGCTAGAATTGACTTCACCACCCTTAGAAGCTTAAACAGCCATAACTTTTTAATTTTTATCCTGAGTGTAAACAGGAACCACTTATTATTATGTGCATGGATGGCCTAATGCAGTTGGATTACCACTCATTATTATGTGCATGGATGGCCTAATGCAGTTGGATTTAGGATTTTAAAAAGATTATAACAGTAACAATAAAAATTTGCAACAGAAATCACATCAAAGCTATTATAATGTTTTTTGTGGTTATAATGGTAAGAACCCACAAAAGTCACCCTTGGCAAGAATACTGTGAATAAAATGATTTAAAAATTTGATGGAAAGAAGAAAGTCAGATCATAACAATCTGTATTTTAAGACAAAGGGATTGACTGGCTCTTAACCCCAGCTAATCTTTGCCATTTAAAATGTTCATGAAGGACAAGTAGCAATGCAATTTCAATACATTAGCTATAAACTATAAATAAAATAAAACTATAAAGTTTGCATTGAGACCAGAGAGTGTAGAAAGCACCTGATTAACAAGGACGCTATGCAAGGAATGAAACTGTGGAGGAGAAAATCTTGGGCTCATATTTGGATCAACCAACATTACATTCTCATGAACCCACAAAGTCTTCTTTGTGCATAAAACGTGATGGTATTGTTTAAGATGATACTCATCTTTCACAATAATGTTTTTCATCACATCAAGCAGCTTATCTTGATCAATAGAATCAAATGCATTTGATACATCAGAAACAACAAGGAATAATTCAGGCATGGAAGCCTTAGCCTTCTCCAGTCCAAGTAAAAGTATGCGTAACTTTTTATAGACATCATTGTAATCAAATACCGACGATCCCAAAAGCTCTGGTTCTTTCAACTTAATACCTTTCAGAACTGCGTGGGTATCTCTAAGAACATTGTTCACAGACTTGTAGTAATCAAACTTGATTGGCTTTTTCTTTCCATGCACTACACAAGATTGGCCATCTTTGAAATAGAACTCTTCTGTTGGCATTCTTGAATATGCCTTGAGATTTGCCAGAATCCTTACTCCATTTTCTTTTGGGCAAAGCCTAAGTTTTGAGAAACCAAATGATCTATTTGCAAGAATATTTCTGACAGCTGAGTCATTCAAGTTACAATAACCTTTATCCTTAAAGCTAGTGGTAGCGCCCTTTGTTAACTTCTCCCATATTGACTTCCGGAAAAAATAAACATCTTGTTTCCCAAATTCAGTTTCAGTAACGTAGAAGTGTGCTTGGATCAATGGTATAATTAAGTGTGAAAATAACCAATAAATCCAACTTTCCGTAAGATTGCGTTTCATCATGTATGCTGCTTCCTTTGACATGCTGAATCCTTCGTGCATAACCCTCCTCTGCTCCACAGAGTTTGACACCTTACCATTCTGGCAACATAAAGAATGTTTATCTGATAAAAATGGAAACCATGAGGTTTTCAATTTATGCATAGCTTGCTTCAGGGAAAAGTTCTCAAATCTTCGTAATTTTATAAACTTGGAAATATTTCTCCTCAACATTCTCCA